TCACTCACTCACTCACACACACACACACTCACATCACTCACACTCACTCACTCTCACTCACTCACTCACTCACACTCACACTCACTCAATCACACTCACACTCACTCACTCACTCACTCACTCATTCACTCACTCACTCACTCACTCACACTCACACTCACTCACTCACACACACTCACTCACTCACTCACTCAGTCACTCACAGGCGTGGGACAATGTGAGCAGCCAAGGGGTCGGATGTACGCCCTGGCGTCCCTTGGGTCTCCGCCTCTTTTGCGTGGCAGGCGTGGGACAATGTGCACTGCCAAGGGGTCGGATGTACGCCCTGGCGTCCCTCGGGCTCCGCTTCTTTTGCGTGGCAGGCGTGGGACAATGTGCACTGCCAAGGGGTCGGATGTACGCCCTGGCGTCCCTTGGGTCTCCGCCTCTTTTGCGTGGCAGGCGTGGCACAATGTGCACTGCCAAGGGGTTGGATGTACGCCCTGGCGTCCCTTGGGCTCCGCCTCTTTTGCGTGGCAGGCGTGGGACAATGTGCACTGCCAAGGGGTCGGATGTACGCCCTGGCGTCCCTCGGGCTCCGCCTCTTTTGCGTGGCAGGCGTGGGACAATGTGCACTGCCAAGGGGTCGGATGTACGCCCTGGCGTCCCTCGGGCTCCGCCTCTTTTGCGTGGCAGGCGTGGGACAATGTGCACTGCCAAGGGGTCGGATGTACGCCCTGGCGTCCCTCGGGCTCCGCCTCTTTTGCGTGGCAGGCGTGGGACAATGTGCACTGCCAAGGGGTCGGATGTACGCCCTGGCGTCCCTCGGGCTCCGCCTCTTTTGCGTGGCAGGCGTGGGACAATGTGCACTGCCAAGGGGTCGGATGCACTCACTCACTCACTCACTCACTCACTCACCCACTCACCCACCCACTCACCCACTCACCCACTCACCCACTCACCCACTCACCCACTCACCCACACACACACTCAATCACTCACTCACTCACTCACTCCCTCACTCCCTCCCTCCCTCCCTCACTCACCCGCTCACTCACTCACTTCACTTCACTTCACTTCACTTCACTTCACTTCATTTCATTTCACTTCACTCACTCCCTCACTCACTCACTCACATACATCATCATCATCATCATCACCACCATCATCATCATCATCATGTGCCAGCGATGTTTACCAGCCACAGGGCATGCAGAAAGAGATCACAAAATGTGCGGCTGCGCTCGAAAGAGTGCAGAACATTACTTTGGTCAGCGGAAGTATGGTGAGCACACCATCGTTTTGATAGTGTGTCGGAAAAAAAAAACATCAGAGCCTGGTGGAGCTCGATGAAAGCGAAGCAACTTACTCACAAACAACTTACCCTACGTACATACATACATAGATACCTAAATACATACCTACCTACCTACCTACCTACCTACCTACATACATACCACCATCGTCCCTCCATCACTCTTATCCTTCCTCTTCCCTTCTCGCTTTCTGTGCTCCGTCTAAGTCTGTTTCTTCACTGAGGTCGATGCCTTCGTCCTTACCAAACGGTTCGGCTTCGGTCGAGCCGACACCACGTTGGCCGGTGGTGGGGACGTTAATGGGAGGCTTCACACTCACTCACACTCACTCACATTCATTCACATTCACACACACACACTCACACACACTCACACACACTCACATTCACTCACATTCACTCACTCACTCACTCACCTACCTCACCTAACTCACCTACCTCACCTACCTCACCTACCTCACCTACCTCACCTACCTCACCTACCTCACCACCTACCTCACCTACCTCACCTACCGCACTCACTCATTCACCCCCTCACTCACTTCACTTCACTTCACTTCACTTCACTTCACTTCACTTCACTTCACTTCACTTCACTTCACTTCACTCACTTCACTCACTCTCACATCCCTCACTCACACACACCACACTCGCATCACTCACTCACACTCTCACTCACTCACTGTACATGAACATACATACATACACACAAACTCACCCACCATCACCGCTCCATCACTCTTATACTTCCTCTTCCCTTCTTGCTCTTCTATGGTCAGTCTAAGTCTAAAGAAGTTGGTAACATGTGGGGTTATCCGGTCCTTTAATTTAATATTATGGTTTTGATTTTATTATTAGGGGGAAGCTTCTCAGAATAATACTAAATACCCCTAATGTATACTGCAATAAAATCTACTCCAGGTGTTTATCATTAGGGAGGGTTAGTCTTAGGGGGAAGGGGTTAATCTATACATTTCAGTGCGAAAGAATGGCGGGGTCAATCAAGATCCATCTTTGGCCGGTGGGGATTAAACCAATACAAACGGGCAAAGCAATTCATGAACAATCATAGATGGTTTACGATACTGTCCATTAAAAAAAAAAACAGTTTTTGGATTGTGACATAATTCACGAATCTGAAACCAGCTGAGACTTGCGGCCATTTGAGGATGTGTCCCCATACATTTATCATTATTTCCAGTGATGTCACGGCGTGAGGTCGTGATAGGTAACCCTTAGGTAACTATGAAACTTTGTAAATTTCATGGGGTTAGAAGGGGATGTTTACATATGTTTACCATATACCAACTGCAGGATTTCTTCCATCCACAGTATTCCCACGGAATAAGTCGGAATAATTAGCCTCTGGCAATTTGACACATAGCTATTGAATGCTATTGAACATGGCCCAGTCGAAAGTTCGTTGATTTACTGTACCCAGCTAGAAAGTTGTTAAACTAACATGGCGAATCTATGGAAATTGGACCATTTATAGTTGATGTACATTATTAAAAATGATGATTTTCCATAGCAAACTGTTAGTTTACCAGAGGGTTTTCCCCACCTCGGTAGCCACTTTCACCACCGCAGGGTCAATCTCCAGCGCATCCACGGCCTTGGTTGATGACCAAAGGCTACGTAGCATTTTTACTACACGGTGGTTACTAACCACTTAGTAGTATACGTGGTTGGTAACGATAACTTAGTTCACCTTAGTAGTATAAATGGTTAGTAACCATACTTAGTTCAGCCATTTTATGTATGGAATATCCATGAATACCCCCATGAACCGAGGAATTACCAGCGTTGTGTTCGGTTTTAACCAGTTACTTTTTTCGTTGGATCCTTGACTTATACAGTGACATCCTCCACCTTGCACCATGTTCCGAAAACAGTTGTTTCCCTCAATGCAACACATCCACAGAGACAAGTTAAGACTATCATATATATGTATATATAGGCAAATAAAATACGCCATTCATGGAGTGGGGTTGGGGGAAACAATCTGATGAAGCCTAGTAAATCACCACAGAGTAAGATCATTAAGATAGAACACAGCAGCGAAAGACATGAGTGAAATTCATCCCAGAGGATGTGCATCTAACTGGGATCTTTCATATGGTTACTTATTCAATCCACTGGCGAGTCTTATGAGAATCCCCCCATTTTCAGGTACCCATACCTGGATAAATTATACATATATATATATATATGTATACTATTATATACTACCCTCTGGTAATCAAACATGGCAACTGGAAATCCACTATAAATGGAGCTTTGTAGCTGGGAAAATCAACGAACTGAATTGGTGATTTTCCAGCAAGACCTGAAGAGTTGGGCCGGGGATTCCAACACAAGCGAAAGCGAAAGCGAGCTTCGACGACTGAGGCTGTGATGAAGAAAACCACATAGACTGCCCTGAAAAGCAAAAAAAAAACTGGCTGAAAAAGCCTCATATGTTTCACCAATGTTTCACCAATGTTTCACCAACTAGTTGCAGGAGTTCACCAACCGGCCATGACTGGGCGTTGCGATGCGTTGCGGGCCCGGAAATCTGTATCCGAGTCTCCATCTTGTTCTCCGGAAAGGTATGTTGCAACCACAGTGGAATGGAGCCGGCACCCAGGCCTGGCCAACCCGCGGAAGGGCGCCACGAAAAAAACCGACCCGGTGAACGAACATCTATGGAAACCCACCATTTTTTACCGGTACCCTCTGGGCATTTAACAATTTGCTATGGTATAGATGGCCCATTCATAGATGCTTTAGGATGTTTTACCTATTGAAAATGTTGATTTTCCAGTTCGCTACGTTAAATAACTAGAGGGTAAACTCACCATCGAAGTGGGCCATGCTTTCCAGTTCGCATCGAGATGAGTGGAGATTTGCTGCTCTTGATGGCATGTTCTGAATTGAGGATGACGGTCATCCCATTTTCCATGGAAAATCAGAGTTTTGATCCCTGAAGATCAAACAAATCGCCAGATGTTGCTGGTCGAATTCTTTTTGTGTGACCTCACAGCGTCCCCAAGTTTTTGTTGGAACCCCCCCTTCAAACAACCGTGTGTTCCTTGGAGAATCAAAAATCACCTCCAAAAAAAGGAACAACGAAGAAACATACCACCCCGCACCCCTGAGAAATTGGAAAAACAATGCAAGAACATCATCACTAAGAAATTCTGGCGTCACATGTCTATGGGTTTCTTTGATTGAAAATATCATGTCATATCCCATGACTCCCAATGGATTATCATCATGTTCCACATTACGGCATTGTCACAACGTTGGCAAATCCTCCATGTCAAGTTCGTTGGCGAATCCCAATTGGATTCCCATATTAAATCATGAAAATCCCATGCATCCGCATGAAATCCCAGGATACATATATCCGGGTGTTTTTTTGCTTAAACCAGCTACCAGCTACATCAAGTTGATAACCCCGGTAAGCCAAAAACATCAAGTCGAGTAGATTGGCGGTATTTCTAGGTGACCAATCCTCAGAAAAAAAAAGAACAAAAATCACCACATGGAATGATAAAATCCCCATGAAATCGCCATGAAACCCAGAGAAAATTGTGTCCTTTTGGAATACGGCGGCCGTAGGGAGCCTCTATGAATCAACCCAGTGGGAGACATCACCAAAGACAATACAAAGTGGGGGGCCCGGGTCCCAAAAATCGCTAAGTTGGTGAACAGAACTCCAATAACTCTGCTTTATGATACTTCTAACATCTTATAGCATCTTATACCTATTGCATTCATGGGTTGATAAATCAGACAAACATCACTGGGGGGAGCACATTGTGTCTATTCGGGATTAAACCCATGAAAGAAAACCCATTCACCAACCACAAACAAAGTATACAAAGTATCAACAAACCACGAACCATTAACAAAGTATGAACAAACCATTAAAAATCGTTTAAAAAAAACATGGTTTGCTCATCGCAACCGTCGCGCCTATGACCAGCGCCCGCATCTGTGGCAACTCCGTGACACCGACCTCGCCCATCGCACCCTGCAGCTGGGCCCCTGTGAGAGCGCAGGCGCAAAGACTTTTGGTGTAGGCCTTAGAGTACTGTGGGGACTTCATGGTGATTTCATGGTGGCACCATGAACGTGATTTAATTGCATTTAAGGGGATTTATATGGGAATTATATACAAAAGTCTCAATTTGACATTGAAAAAAGATGGATAAGCAACCAAAAGTCTCAATTTGACCTTAAAAAATTAGGGATAAGCAGTTAAAAATCTCAATTTGACCTTCAAAAATGAGGTATAAGCAGTTAAAAATCTCACTTTGACCAAAGGATGATAAACAGCCAGAAGTCTCAATTTGACCTTCAAAAATGAGGTATAAGCAGTTAGAAACCTCACTTTGACCTTGAGAAAGGAGGGACAAGCAGCCAAAAGTATCAATTTGACCTTGAAAAATGAGATATAAGCAGTTAAAAATCTCAATTTGACCTTGAAAAAAGGAAGGATAAGCAGCCAAAAGTCTCAATTTGACATTGAAAAAAGATGGATAAGCAACCAAAAGTCTCAATTTGACCTTAAAAAATTAGGGATAAGCAGTTAAAAATCTCAATTTGACCTTCAAAAATGAGGTATAAGCAGTTAAAAATCTCACTTTGACCAAAGGATGATAAACAGCCAGAAGTCTCAATTTGACCTTCAAAAATGAGGTATAAGCAGTTAGAAACCTCACTTTGACCTTGAGAAAGGAGGGACAAGCAGCCAAAAGTATCAATTTGACCTTGAAAAATGAGATATAAGCAGTTAAAAATCTCAATTTGACCTTTAAAAAGGATGGATAAACAGCCACAAGTCTCAATTTGACCTTGAAAAATGAGGTATAAGCAGTTAAAAAATATCAATTTGACCTTGAGAAAGGAGGGACAAGCAGCCAAAAGTATCAATTTGACGTTGAAAAATTAGGTATAGGCAGTTAAAAATCTCAATTTGACCTTGAAAAAGGATGGTTAAGCAGCCAAAAGCCTCAATTTGACCATCAAATTCATGAGTTCCAAAGTGTTTCCATACTGCAGCCATCATGTTTTTTCTTTTGTAGTTCTTTTTAACCCCAACTGTTCACATCAAAAGGTACACAAAAAAGCTACGGTATAGTCATTCGCTTCAAAAAAGATCGAGTTTAGTCAAATCCCTCTAAAATTGTGTTACATTGATACATCATTTCGATCTTTTTTTGGTTACTATATAGAGTTACCCTAAAAAGATGGAAAAGTAATGGATCACCATGTTGGGTTCGGAGTTTACTATATGTTACTATATTCTACTATATCGAGGTTTCCTAAGTCATGGGGGTATTCCCAAATCATCCAAGACGATCGACCATGACTTAGTATCGAAACCTATGGTGACTTGGGGATCCCCCATGACTTAAGAAACCCGCACTTGGTTCTATGGTCATTTCAAATACCTAAACTATCCTAAACTTGAGGCCCTGTACCATACAAGGCCATAGAAACAGGGAGTATATGTATCCCCTGAAATGAGTCCTTACATAGACCTCATTCTACTACCCTCTGGTTAACTATTTAACATAGCTATGGTATGGATGGTCCATTTAGAGAATTAGTTATGCTGATTTACTTTTGAAAAAATGTTTTTTTTTTCCAGCTCGCTACGTTAAATAACCACAGGGTGTATATATATATTCTACAATTTGGGCCCCCCCAGTTATGTTTGTTGGTTTAGATTCGCCCTAGTAACTAGTTCGTTATCTGCGTACCATTCAAACCATAGTGAGTTATTGGAGTTACCATCTGGTAATTTAACAGTTCGCCATGGAAAGATCCACCATTTTTAAGTTCGGTAAACCATTTATTTCGATTAGGGCCATCTATACCATGGCTATGTTAGTCATAACCAGAGGGTATTAGTTCACCCCAACTGAACGCGATTTCGCTATGATTCACCCACGGCCGAAAACCAGCCACCGGACCTTCAGAAGCCATGGAACACCCACGGCCGAAACACGATTTTCATCACTAACTCATCACATGTTTAATTATGATCAATATTGATATTTTTATCACTATTGTATATCATAATTATATATCATAATTAATGGCTATGTTATACAATAATATACCACATATTCATCACGATTTTCATCACTATTCACCCATAAAATCTTCACCCACTATGACTTCACACATCACCAAGGCGCCAAGGCCATGCAGTAGGGCACTTGCTGCGGATGTTGGCCCTCCGCAAGGCTCACCTCTCGTGGTTTGAATAAAGCGGAGGATTACTGGTGATGCGTGGGTGAAGAATGGGTTAACGTGGGTTAGCAATGAACAGTGATTGATAACGGTTGGTAATGAATAGTGATTCATAGTGACGAATAGTGATTAACAATGGTGAATAGTAATATAGTAATATATAGTAATGAATAGTGATTGATAATGGTTAGTGATGAATATATAATGATTAATAATGGTTGGTGATGAATTGGTTTCATAGTGACTGAGAATGGTGAATAGTGGCTTCATAGTGATTGATAATGGTGAATAGTGGTTAGTGATTAATAATGGGATTAAATTATAAATGTAGTGGGATTAAATGGAAATTATAATGATGAATAGTGATCAATCATGGTTAATACAGTAATGGTGAATAGTGATATGGGGGTTTCTCAAAACGGGATACCCCAAAATGAATGGTTTATAATGGAAAATCCTCTTCAACTGGATGATTTAGGGGTACACCTCTAAATGGGGTATACCTTAATACCACTCTAAATGGTGATTTTTTGATTGGGAACATGATTATTTTATCCAATGGATTTAGGGGTACATTATTCTAAATCTCAGACAAACCCGAGGTGTACAGCCCGTAGATATGTGACGCATGACCGAGAAAACCAGGGAATGGACATCGACTCCTGCGAAGCCGGGGGGGAAACCAAGAAATCAAAAGAGGGTGCAAGGTGGTTCCCCATAGTAAACCAAGTATAACTAACTAAGTTGGTTTATGCTAGATCGAGCTGGTAGATCGAACATGATCGAACTGGTGCTGTGAAATTCAACCAGCAAACAGTGCGGGACAGCTCTGCCCCAACGTCGCCACTTTGCAGGAATCTAACTTGGCAGGGGAACGTTTGCTGTTTTTAGATGGCTGTTTCTTGGATTGGAAAGCCCTGAAATCTACTGGTCAACCATCGTATTTCCCATTCAGAAATTGCCTGGGAGGTAGGGCAGGTAGGGACCCCTTTTTTCAGACACACCCATGAGGTGCCCGAGGCCCGGTGTCTGGAGACCATGAGAAGAGAACCGATATAGCCAAGTCTCATCTAAAAAATACGATGATGCCGATGTTGATCTTCATTCCATTTCTTGGAAACTACAGCAAAATCGAACCACAAAGAACCACCACCGAACGCTAAAGAATGTTAGTTTCATCGAACTCCTTGGGCCATGGCTACTTGGGGGGTGCAGTTGGGGTTGCCTCTATGGGTGTATACATGGTGTAACATGGTGTGTGTATATATATATATGTATTTATATATGGATATGTATATATATATATATGTGGATGATGGATACATATATATATATGTATATATATATGTGGATATAAACATATTATATTTTATATATATAACAATATACAACATCATATAACCATGGCAATCACTTCCATAAATAGCTGGATGCAACCCCTACAAACATGGTGGCACATTAATGGTGACATGATCCCTGGTCCCTTGTTCATGGAACTGCACCCACAAGCAACACTGTGGCGATTTCATCTTGGCCAAGAACTGCCCAACACCCAACAAATGGCTAAGGCAGTCACAGCACAAAGCAGGACAGCATGCAAACTCTCTCGAAAACCAGCAACGCCAGTTGCAAATGTGCAAAGTTTGGCCTCCCCTCACAACATGCCAGCCAGGAAACCTGGAAACCCCAGCGAGCACTTTAGCCCATCGTCTCACCGTCATACATCCATCTTGATAGGATGCGTTGGCCAGAGGGTATAATGCGACCAGTGTTGCACGAGGCGAACCTGGTGCGGTTTTGGAGCACCCAGCATGCGCCCCACACCCGGCCAACGGTGTGCGAACAGACCAGCCACAATGGGTAGGACAGGTCACGCATACCACACGGGATCTGTTCGTGGGTAGGGCAAGGGGGCTTGGTTTAAATGCGTTCCAGAGCACATCCAAATAGGTTCGTGGCTGCCTGTTTGTTCCCCACCTGCTTGGTGAGGGTCTCAAGATTGTAACAAACGGAGGACACATGCGGGACACACACGCACACAATCAAAAGACACGCGCACACACACTAGACAAAATTGGATCTTTTAAGACATCCATCAGGAACTGAGTCCTTTAACGTGCAAATTAGTCAGGAAAACAATAATCCTAGATGAATTAGTCGACTTAGCCGGTCGCCATACGCAAGCAGTGATTGCAAAATAAACAAATCTTGGTCCGGTTCTTGGCTTAGCCGGTCGCCATAGACAATGGAGAAATTGAAGCAGGTACGCAGAGCTGATCAGGCTCTGTATCCCATACAATCAGGTAGCTTCGTTGGACGTGGTCCCTGATTGTATGCCACGTCGTAGATGCCAACCCCTGCCGATCTAGTTCATATCAGAAACATTCAACGACCTAATAGAAGTTTTTCATCTGTACAGATGTTCCACACACACACACCACTTGCCAGATCGTCATCGATAGCTTGTTTGCCATCCTCATATAGCATGTGCCCAATAAAATACATGGCGAGCTCGCCAGCTGGGCCTCACCGTACCCGAACACTATGCCAAATAGAATGCCAGAAGAGAATATAGGTCCGATAGAATGCCAGATAACATGTCAGAATATATGTCAGGTTATGTCAGAATATATTGAATATATGTCAGATCAGATGGCAGATAGAATGTAAGGCAAGATGTCAGCTAGATTCCCAGATACAATGTCAGATTTTGTGTCAGATTGATGCCAGAATATATGTCAGCATAGTCAAATAGAATGTCAGAATATACGTCGGATAAAATGTGAAATGTTGTGTCAGAATATATGTCAACTAGACGGTCAGTTGGTAGGGATCACTGGCAGAAAGTAATTGTTCGATGATGTTTATTTGGACCTACATTGAGATTCAAAGGTACCAAAATGTGTCAACTCGATGCAATTCTGAAAGGCATATGTGATGCAATGGACACATTGATGATGACATGGTTAATCCACAATCCAACAAGAAGATACAAAAAGGCACTACACACAAAAGTTGCATGGTGCATCATGGTGCTGCATCTGCGATATCTACATCCCTGTAAAATATGGCCGCTATCATGTTGCTGCCAGCGTTGCACATACACTTTTTGTAGAAAGAATCAGGGGCCTGCCGTACAACAGTCACAGCACAAAGCAGGACAGCATGCAAACTCTCTCAAAAACCAGCAACGCCAGTTGCAAATGTGCAAAGTTTGGCCTCCCCGTACAGCATGCCAGCCAGGAAACCTGGAAACCCCAGCGAGCACTTTAGCCCATCGTCTCACCGTCATACATCCATCTTGATAGGATGCGTTGGCCAGAGGGTATAATGCGACCAGTGTTGCACGAGGCGAACCTGGTGCGGTTTTGGAGCACCCAGCATGCGCCCCACACCCGGCCAACGGTGTGCGAACAGACCAGCCACAATGGGTAGGACAGGTCACGCATACCACACGGGATCTGTTCGTGGGTAGGGCAAGGGGGCTTGGTTTAAATGCGTTCCAGAGCACATCCAAATAGGTTCGTGGCTGCCTGTTTGTTCCCCACCTGCTTGGTGAGGGTCTCGAGATTGTAACAAACGGAGGTATTGCCTGCAGAAGTGCATCATATTGTTGCGCAATGCATCGTACCAGCCGCAGAAAAGGTGACGATCAGTGATCAGCATGTTGTCATCGTTGAATCGTTGCTGGGACACATGGCAACATCGCATGTAAAAGAATCTACAGGCCGACAACCGCCCAACAGCCAACAAGAGGCAGCTGCCACAGTACAAAAGCGAGCAGCAGGCACATTCGTTCAAAAAGAAATCCAGCAACTGCTATGTCTGGCCTCCCCTCACAACATGCCAGCCAGGAAACCTGGAAACCCCCAGCGAGCACCTTAGCGCATCGTCTCGCTGTCATACATCCAGACAACGTCAGGATGTGTTGGCCCAAAGGGTTTATCCAACCAAGTTAACGCCGCTACACGGTGTAGATCTGGTGCACCCAGCATGCGCCCCACACCCGGCCAACGGTGTGCGAACAAACCAGCCACAATGGGTAGGGCAGGCCACTTAAACCACACTGGATCTGTTCGTGGGTAGGGCAAGGGGGCTCCGCGAAACCCATGTCACAGAGCACAACCAGAGAGGCACACGGTATTTGCGGTGCTGATTCTGATGATGCTATTTCTTGCTGTATGAGGGTTTTACATCTATCAGCATAACTATCATGTGGTTGAGAAACTCTTAGTAGCTCTTAGTAGCTCCAACCGGTTCCCTATTTCTAGGGATTAGTGGGGAAAAGCTCGATACCCATAACTTCTTGCTCCTGACCACCAGAGAAGGACATGTGTGATGCCTCCTTAACACTACACAAATTAACCAAAGGTATTGCCTGCAGAAGTGCATCATATAGTTGCGGAATCCATCGTACCAGCCGCAGAAAAGGTGACGATCAGTGATCAGCATGTTGTCATCGTTGAATCGTTGCTGGGACACATGGCAACATCGCATCTAAAAGAATCTACAGGCCGACAACCGCCCAACAGCCAACAAGAGGCAGCTGCCACAGTACAAAAGCGAGCAGCAGGCACATTCGTTCAAAAAGAAATCCAGCAACTGCTATGTCTGGCCTCCCCTCACAACATGCCAGCCAGGAAACCTGGAAACCCCCAGCGAGCACCTTAGCGCATCGTCTCGCTGTCATACATCCAGACAACGTCAGGATGTGTTGGCCCAAAGGGTTTATCCAACCAAGTTAACGCCGCTACACGGTGTAGATCTGGTGCACCCAGCATGCGCCCCACACCCGGCCAACGGTGTGCGAACAAACCAGCCACAATGGGTAGGGCAGGCCACTTAAACCACACTGGATCTGTTCGTGGGTAGGGCAAGGGGGCTCCGCGAAACCCATGCCACAGAGCACAACCAGAGAGGCACACGGTATTTGCGGTGCTGATTCTGATGATGC